AATAATTGTTTGTTGTATGATATTCGGTATGGTACCATATGGTGTTGCATGATAATTATCTAATGAAATAACAAATGTATCAATTGGGATTAAATGATTAAAATATTCCAAATTTCCAGTTGCTTGATTGATTACTACGCCAAGATGATGAATAATAATGTCAATTGTATTCTAAAATTATTCGCATTTTTCCTTTTTTTCTTTTCATTTTTGTAATTTTGAAATATAACAAAAAATATAATCAAGAATTAAATTTCTCAAGCTTAAATGATTGTTTATTTTATTTTATTTTTAAAATTTGTTTTTGCAAAATAGCACATATATGAAAAAAAATGAAATTATTTTACAAATTAGCATATTCTATTTCCAATTTTTATTTTGGATTAAAAAAAAAAGTTTTACCGGTTTCACTGTCATTTTTACAATGTCATCATTTGTCCAAATACCAGAATTAATGGGAGATTTTGGTACCATTGTAAATGGATTTTCAATTATTTGTGTTGATTGGCTGTAAAAAAAGAAGAAGTAATGTTTACGTAATATTTATCATAAATTTTATCATAATTCTATTAATTAAACTTAAATTACATTTAAATTATTATTTAATCAATATTACATCAATTTCAATGATTTAACATTTTACATATAAAAATACAATATAATAATAGTGGTGTTGCAATGGCAATAATAACAATGTATAATGAAGGATGAAAGGATGAAATTGTGTTTGAATTCTAAATGTAAATATTAATGCCAAGATGATTCAGGCCTTTTTTTCCTTCATTCACGCAAACTAATCGATATGGAAAAGAAAAGGTGTAATATTGAAGCTTATATGCAGAAAAATTCCAATCATCTATTCATATTTTAATTTTTATTAATTGTAAATTTTTTTGGAAAAAAAATAAAAAGCAAAAAAAAAAAAGAAATGAAAACGAAGAGGAAATAGACAACAAACTTTGATGCTGACATAATAATTGTAAATGAGAAGAAGCATGTTGTAGAACCCTCTTGAAGATATGGACATTGTATACCTGATGGACAAGCACAGGTATAGTTATTAGGTAATGCAAGATTAGGATTGCTATATTGCTGCAATTGAATTGTTACCAATGCACCTGTAGTACCATTAAGCTAAAATTTGTGAAAATTAAATTACTAGATGAGGAGTAAGAAATATTTGGGATAAGTGATTTTATTCATTTATCGTTTCAATTAATTATCGGAATAATGCATATTAGGAAATGTTAAATGATAACTTAATTATTTGCTGAACATAATAATTTTATCAAAATATTCATATTCAAGATAGTACTTATCGAATCAATCTTGCTTAAATTAAATAACAGGTTAAATCTATTGGTTGATTAAAACGAAAAAAAAAAATTCAACATTAGCGAAACAATTTTAGCGGCGTTATAATTTTATAAATTTAAGTCTTTTAAAATATTAGCTATTAATCCATTTATTTAGGAACAATCAAAGAAATATGATAAAAATCAGTTAAATTTATAAATGATAAGAAAATGTAAACTAAAATTATTTATTTTGTTTAAAAAAGCAACAATATTAAATTTTACTATGTTAAAAAGAATATAAAAAAATAATTCGCGCATTAAAAATTTTAATTAAGAATAATAACTACTTAGGCCTACAATGATTTCTGAAATCTTCAGCATCTTGTAACAATTGCTACAAAAAATAAAAATAAAAAAGTAAATGAAACATATTTAAACACTTGTAACATCGAAGTGACAGTTCAGAGCATTTTTAAATGGTGACAAAAAAAATTATATAATATTCAGTTGAAAAAATTTTCAATTTTATAATACTATGGAAAATTTTTAAAATGTTTCCATCACTTACATTGTTCACTGGAATGTTTTTAAATTTTGCTCCAGGATTACTTGCTAATATCGGATTCATTTTTTTCAAATTTTGTCGTAAATGTGTTGGATACTGTTGTTGATATTGAGAGTGCTTTCGTATTCCTTGTTGTGATTGATCAAGTCTAAATTTATTGAAAACAAAAACAATCATTTAAAAAATGTTTATAATTCAATCAGTTTGTTCACCTGATTATTATTATTATTATTATTACTTTTTTTGTACATTTATATTATTATAAAAATTATGACAATTAAAGTTTTCAAAAATTAGTAATAATAAAAAGAGAATTAAATTTGATAGTTACAATGAATTCATTGTTTTTTTTTTTTTAAAAATTAATAACAGTTATTGTGTGATATCAAGTAATCTTTAACAATAATATCTATTATGAACAAAAATTTAATTAATAAATTAAATGTACAAAAATAAACCTTTGATAAGAATGCTGAAATGGGCTATTGGATAATTGCTCATTAGCAACAACAATAATAAATAATGAAAGTAATATTTGAGCAGTGAAAATATATTGTATCGAATAAGTCAGTTCAAAATTGTTGTTGAAGAATATCATGACACACTCTTCTAGGCCCTGTAATGCAAACAATCAGCTTATTACGGAAACGAAATGATTGGTGGACAATGGCGCCCAGTAAATGAATGCTAATGTAGTGACACCATCACACACATACACACACACATACACACACATACACACACACACATACACACACACATACACACACATACACACACACACCACACACACACACGCACACACACACGCACGCACACGCACGCACACGCACACACATACACACACACACACAGACACGTGCACACTTACATACAGGCATATATTTGTATATGTATTGATTAGCTACAAAAGAAACTTTACATTGTAGTTGTTATCTTAAAGAAAGAAAAGAAAACTGACTGCATTTTAACACAAACCTAAGCTTTCTCTCTATTCTCATGTGACCGCTGTCACCGATACGGTTGCTATCGTCCATTTTGATTGTCATCAT